AATGCACCTAATTTAGCAGGCAAAAACATATTTTAATTCAGTGTATGGAAAGATTTATTAATACCTGTGTCTTAATTTTTTGCCTTTTATAGTAATTATTAATAGTGCCTGATTTGATCCGTATGTCTGTTTAATCTCTAGTAATTGACAAATTATAATATATGAACATGAATGAATGTGTGATTTTATCATGTCAGCTCACTGAACTGCTGAATGAATGAAAAAAATCCTATAAAACAGCTTCAGGATATAAAAAGCCACTCATACAGCTAACTATTACAAGAGCAATAGACACCATCCATCATGGAATGAAATTCATGGGACTGAAATTTTAGTTGAGCAACTCGGGAGTTGTTTATTTGTGAATGCATGATGAATGAAGGGGCTGGGGCTTTCAGATATCTTGATCTGTAAATCAACAGGACTTTTTTTTTTCAACATGACAATAAAAGTTTACTTTTGTTGCATTTTTGACTAATGTTGTGTGACCTTTACACAGTGCAGTAAGAAACTTAGTTCAGGACTGAGTTAGCAATATTTTGAAGAGTGGAGTCTTCATTATTTTGTCAACATGTCTGTATCCTGAATTTTTCCATTTCGCTGACGCCTCAGGTTCACACGCTTGGATTATGAGTTGACCTTTGACCTTAATCTGCCTGATACTTATGGTTGATGGTCCACACTGCAGAAGGATTAGAGTGAGTCAGTAAAATGTGCCAGAGTAACACTGAACTAAACTGGACAGACATTTCCCCTTGATAGACCAACAATTCAGATAAACTTCACATCAGATTTTCAAGTGAAAACAAATATGTTCATTCAGATCCTCACACTGTTCCTCTAATCTTTCCAATTACAGAATATTTGCATGAGCATCTAATAACATCATATTGTAGCAGGCTGGTTTGATGTCTCTACAGCCACCTGAGTAATATTTTAAAGGAGACATATTATACCCCTTTTTACAATATGTAATTCAAGTCTCTGGTGTCCCCAGAATGTGTCTGTGAAGTTTCAGCTCAAAATACTCCACAGATCATTTATTATATCATTTTGAAAATGCCTATTTTGAGTGGAAGCAGAAACAAGCTGTTTTTCGTGCCTGGCTCTTTAAATCCAAATGAGCTGCTGCTCCCCGACCCCTTTTCCAGAATAGAGCTGTGCCATTACAGCTCAACCTGCTAAAAAACATCTGTTTTGGTTCTGATTATTATGTTTATTTCGCTGAAATCATGCGTTTTAAACCATATTTAACCAGAGTTTAAACTTCTTATATACGGTTTTCTGAGAGCACACATCTGAAGCACACGTACAGAAAGCGGCCACCACACAGCATGTGAGTATTAAACTAAGTTCTCATTCACACACAAATTTACGTTTAACAACAAACGAGTTACAAAAACAGTCGGTTATGTCTGTGAAGGTAAACAGCTGGGAAATAAATCGCATGTTTATTTTAGATCTGTGTGGCAGCAGCAATATACATTAAATAAATCAATAATTCCACTGCTCTCGTCTTCTCTTAGGCTGGGACTCTAAATGGTGTTCTGTACTCGTCTGTGCAGCCAAAGACAGAACAGTTAGCATGTTTTGCTCAAAATTTCGCCATGGCATTAGAACTGGTACACCGTTGTCGCTTGTGAAATCAAAATGATGGGACCTTGAGTGTAAATTTAGAGATTAAGGGGCAGTAATATTATAATGAGATCCCTTTGCCATGTCACCAAGGGAGCAAAATCAGACACGCTCGTTTTCTCAGAAGCTTGCAGAAAAAGGCTTACCAAAACAAAGTTACTGGGTTAATCTTTTTCACATTTCCTTGGTTGGTAGATGCACTGGGGACCTGACTATAGCACTTAAAACCTGAAAAGGCCAGATTTTCATGATATGTAACTTTTAATCTAAAGTTGACAGAGAGGTTCCACAGGAGTTCAAATGTGAAGTGATGAGCAGCATGCGGTGGATGAACATTAGTCCACTCGGCCTGAGATTTGCCATGGTTAGATGCTCAGACCATATGTGTGAGGTCAACTGATTGTTTGCCAGTCTGCACTTAGTGAGGTTTGATCCACAACAAATCCAATAAAGGCAACCACTCGCTCTCAGACTCATAGTAGACTGAAAGAGGAGAATATCATAAGAGTTTATTTAGGTTCTACAGAGGAGAAGATTGCTGTGAAAAAGAGATGGATATATAAATGAACGGAATGATAGCAGGAAGGAAGACTTCAACAACAGAGAGAGAGAGGGGGACAAGAAAAAGCGCTGGCCTGGAGGAATCTCACTTCCTCATGGGAGGTTAAAGCTGAGCTGACTGTCTCTCTCTGGCCCAAGCTGGGGATTCGGGCCACAGATCAAGCGAGGCTAGATGACTCTATCTGTAAGGTTCTACTGCAGCTTCTCCCATATTCACTACACATGTGCCACTTACTGCTGTTTTGTCTCGTAGCTTTATAGCTATATACGCTGTATATTAAATGTATTAAGACAGCAGCCTTGTGTGTATACAGTTCACATTTATGGAACAATCTGATGGAAAATCCCACTCATGAAATCCTTCAGTAACTTTAAAAGAAACTGAAGTACAATCTGTTTTGACTTGCATTTACATTTAGTCATTTAGTAGACGCTTTTATCCAAAGCGACTTACAAATGAGGACAATAAAAGCAGTCAAAACTAACAAAAGAGCAACAATATATAAGTGCAAATGACAAGTCTCGGTTAGCCTAACGCAGTACACGTAACAAGGTGTATATATATATATATATATATTATACACACACACACATACATACACACACACACACACACAAAGAAAGAAAAACAAGTAGATAGAATAGAAAACAGAAAGCTAGTGTTTGTTTTTTGTTGTTTTTTTAAATAAAAAATTTAAAAGAAGATATAAAGTAGAATTAAAGTAGAATAGAAAGTGTTAGAGTTAGAGGCTCAAATAAAGGTGGAACCAGATGTGTTTTTAGTCGTTTCTTGAAGATGGTTAAGGACTCAGCTGCTCGGATTGAGTTGGGCAGGTCATTCCACCAGGAGGGAACAGTTAATGAAAAAGTCAGTGAAAGTGATTTATACGTGATTTCATAATACGCCGTTCACTTGCAGAACGCAGACTTCTAGAGGGCACATAACTCTGAAGTAATGAATTTAGGTAAATGGGTGCAGAGCCAGTGGTGGTTTTGTAGGCAAACATTAATGCCTTGAATTTAATGCGAGCAGCTACTGGTAGCCAGTGCAAACTGATGAACAGAGGTGTGACATGCGTTCTTTTCGGCTCATTAAAGATTAATCTTGCAGCGGAATTTTGGATTAATTGTAGAGGTTTGATAGAAGTGGCTGGAAGACCTGCCAAGAGAGCATTGCAATAGTCCAGCCTGGATAGAACAAGAGCTTGAACAAGGAGTTGTGTTGCATGTTCTGAAAGAAAGAGCCTGATCTTCCTACTGTTGTATAAAGTAAATCTGCAGGACCGGGCAGTTTTGATATTCAGACTTGATATTTCTAATAAAAACAATTTATAATAAGAACCCTCACATGGTTATCTTTGTAATTTTCACAAACTTTAGACCTTCTGAGGATTTTTGTTGTGTGTAACTCCCTTGTTGCAATTTCATCTGTAAAAATTTGGTTTACATTAATCCAAAGGTGTTATGAATACAATAGCACCATCTGGTGGCAAATATAGATATTTACAAATACCGGTAAGCAACATACTTGACGTGAGAATACATATTACTCCACAGTCCACACACACTATCAAATTTAATATTTTATTTGCTTAATAAAACAAGATAAAAACAGGCATAATCAATGTGGGAAAACGTTTTATTAAAACAGTGCTGAAAATGGATCAAATTAATGATTAACTGAATGAATAAAAGCCAACGAACATCACAAATAAAAAAAGTTGAAATCTATTTAAAGTATACACACACACACACACACACAAATTAAAGAATAAATAAACATTTACAAAAATATATTTCATGAAATGTGTAAAGAACTTGACATGTAGACATGTAGTAACTGCTTGTGTGTGATCTGGATTAAAACAAATATTTCCGGGAGTTCTTTACTCAGACTTCTTTAAGTCTGAGTCCATTTTTGAACTCTCTGCATCTATTGGATCAACTGCAGCAAAAATTAGTAGTACTCATTAGGCATTTACAATAAATGTTAGTATATAATATCTTTTATGTTAATATATAAATATTGTTTTTTTTTTATATTTCCTTTAAATAGTCTCTCTCCCAAAAATGTAAGAAAAAGCCAAATAAAAGCCAAATTTCCTGCCAGTCATCTTGTAGTCAAAGGTGAGCTCTTCTCCTGCTTTGATCCCTTGTTTTGCAAAGAATGCGATTCTGGGAAGTCGTTCATTTAAGTTGTCAATTAAAACATTATAGACCTGCAAGTTTGGATCACACTGGGAAAACAATGGTAAAGATTTATTAATTTCATGCTTTGTGAAGTTTTACTGTTATAATGTTAATAGATTTATATTTGTATAGATTTTATTTATTTAAAATAGACAGGATAAGTAACTGTTTTCTGTTTAATAGATTTTTATTTATTCCTGTGATGGCAAAGCTGAATTTTCAGCAGCCACTCCCCAGGATTTTCAGTGTCACATGAGCCTTCAGATATCATGATTTGGTGCTCAAGAAACATTTCTTATTATTATCAATGCTGAGAACAGTTGTGCTGCTTAATATTTTTTGTGAAAACTGGAACAGAACTTGTTGTAACAGTGTCTTTGTCACTTTTTATCAATTTAATAAATATTTTAAAAACTCTTACTGGCCCCAAAGGGGTAATTTTTTAAAAATAGGTTTTATTTGTTTTCTACTGAATGTTTTTAAATATCCCAAAAAATATCTATATATGAATACTGGTTACTATAATGCCCAAATTTGTTAACTATTAACATCAAGAAAACACATATTCATGCAACATACCTTTTATAAATAAATATCACTTTACAAGAATCCGTTCCAAATTACTTGATAGAGAGGCCAGATGATGTGTACAGCTAGTTAGTGCTCACGCTGTGGTTGACAAAGTGAGAGATGTTTCCGTAACGAGCTGCTTCAATGGTGTAGACATCATCCACATAGTCCAGATCAAACAGGTAGGTGACGCCCTGCTTATCGTACACCACTCCTCTTCTCTCTGCTTCCTCTGTCGTGATGATCTGATGCAACACACAGCTGACAGCAGGTTAGTAATTAACATTCACAGAATAGGATTCAGCCAAATTAAACAATTTATAGGGATAAAAAAAAATCTGTCATCATCTACTCACCCTCATGTCATTCCAAACCTCTATAACTTACTTTCTTCTGTGGAACACAAAAGAAAGTATTTTGAAAAATGACTGTGTACCATTTCTCGGCTGTGAAATGGGTTTAATGTCATTTCATTGTATAGACATAAACAGCTGAAACATTCTTCAAAATATATTTTTTGTCGTACTTGATATATTATCTGTTATATTTAATATTTTTGGTGTTCATACAAATTTGGAATGACATTTCTTGGGTGAACTATCCCTTCAATTTGCTTACCTCTCCAAGATACTCCATAACGAAGCTGTTTTTGTAAATCCTCTGCAGTGTCTGCACTCCCCACCCTCTGCCATTGGCTGTTTTTTAGATGCACAGATCGTACTGAATACCTTTTTGCACAACCCTATTTGCACAGTCTGGCCCACATCGGCACTTGTCCTTTTTAAAAACATAACAAACTGAAATGATAGTCAGTGCTCAAATTTAAGGGGGGTCTCCCCCCCATAAGAAGTAAAAAAAAAAATATAGACTTAAAATCGTTTGGTTTGATATCTGCACCTTTCATCATGGTGTGTTAAATCTCTTACCTTTAAAAAACTCAGATGACAGAGTGACCCACCTCCCATGAACATGCAGTTGTCTGCCTTCCCCATTGTCCAGTGAAATCAGAAAGACACACGAAACACAAGAATTATGATTAAGACCCCTTAGCTGTCAGGATCAAAATAAGTTCATACCCACTTATCTGTTTTCAGTTTAGGTGCAATCAGCTGTTTCTTCGATAGGCAACTGTGTATAAATAGTTATGCCAAATCTATACCAGGTTGGCTTCCTATTACCTAAGCGATGTATTTCTGAGCTCACTTTTTAATGATTGACTTAAAGTCACCATGAAATCAAAATTGAAAATTCTTATTTTTTATGGAATACTGTAGTGTTTATTATAAATAATTTATCCATGCATTTCATTATTTTTTTTTTAATTCATTTGCCCTCCTAATCTTTAATCAAAAAGTTAACCTCCCCTCCCCCTCAAAACGACTCATCTTCTCTTCCGGTCACGAGCTATGGCGCAAGGGCGGAGCTAGTGACGTGAGGGGTAAACGCTGGGATAAACGACAGGAGAAAAGCTGAAGATGATGTTTCACTTTATAGCACTGACACCAGTCATGAGGGAGAAGGTTACTCCTAAACATTGAAACAAATTAAATTTATTCATTCATTAATTCATGCTTGGGTATCGGCTGTGAATCCAGTGGAGAGAAATCCCCCACCACTAACTGCAAACTGGCATTCAGATCTGCCTCCATTTTGTTAGCAACACCCCAGCTTCCAAAGATCCAATCAATTCCCGAAGGACGAAATCAAGTCCCGCCCTCTCATTTCTGATGCCGTTTCACTCAGATATACGTCACAGTAGAGAAGAAAAGACAATCAACTTCCATTTCATGCCGACTTTAAACTGTCCCTGTGTCTCAATGTTCATACTATCCATCCTAAACAGTATGTGAGATTAGAATAAGTGTGTCCCAAAGCATAGTATGTTGAAAAGAGTATGCCAAAAGTCCCTGGATGGTCTACTATTTCAGGGCGATTTTTTAAGTGTGGATTCGTGCACACTCTATAATGGCTAAAATTGCCCACAAACCATTGCGCTTTGGCGAAGGATTCGGTCCAGGACTACAAACACGAATAAAACAGGTTAACAAAAACTACAAATGTGGTGGATGCGCGCAATCGATGGTAGAGAGGTTTACAAAAAGGGGTTTGAGTTACTAATAATCAACATTTAACTTGGTAAAACAATATTGATTTATTGTTATCCGTGTTATATTTCATCTGCAACAGCAATGTGAACTTTTATAAACATCCATTTGGTCGTTAACTTTTAAATGCATCATTATGCAGAAAATATGAGCTTCTCTGCATGAAAGACCCGCGACTGGCAGATCAACGAGCTACTTCTTTTCTCTCCAGTACGGTAGGAAGTTAAATGAAATGAAATGTGGAGGATGTTAACTGTGACAAGATGATTGAGAGGCCAGTTTACAGTGACAGGGTGCTTGTGCCAGGTGCGACAGAGTGGTCAGCATGCGAGTACTAATGGAAATTAACTTACAGATTAATAGGCGGCAATATTATAATGAGATCCCTTTGCAACGTCACCAAGGGAGCAAAATCAGACATGCTCTTCTTCTCCGACGCTTGCAGAAAAAGGCTTACCAAAACAAAGTTCCTGGGTTAATCTTTTTCACGTTTCCTTGGTTGGTAGATGCACCAGGGACCTGATTATAGCACTTAAAACCTGGAAAAGCCAGATTTTCATGATATGTCACCTTTAAAGACGCAAGTGTGTGACGTGATAGTATGTCCCAAAGCTTGCCTACTCTTCTACTACACACTCAATAGTGTGTACTTTTTCTTCACCAAAAGAGTACATACTTTAAGGGCGTAGTATGAGTAGGCACATTGAGACGCAGCAGTAGGGTGACAGGTAGGGGGCCAAGTCTATCTTCCCACCATGGCCGCGGGAACTAGGGGTGCTGAGGGTGCAGGGGTGCACACCACTGTATAATTCAATTCAATTCAAGTTTACTTGTATATCGCTTTTCACGACACAAATCGTTGCAAAGCAGCTTTACAGAAAATTAAGTTTCTACAATGTATTTAGTAGTAGCTTATCAGTGGTGACTATGTCAAATTGATGTACATATGGCAGAAATGTATGGTAAAATTCAGTTAATGACGTAATCAAACAGACGATGAACACTTTTAACAGCAATAATTATATGTTGTATGTAATACAACACATATGTAGTAATATGTAAAAATATTTGTGGGTGTGTAAAGTACAAAAGTTAAAAAACGACCTGTAGTGCATTTGAGTAAGGGACTTTTATATTAAAATCAGTGATTGGAAGACTGGTTGGAGACATCCGGAAGTCGAGCGACAGATATACTTCGTATACACTTTGGTAGACATAAAGGGAGAAAGGCAGGATGACTTAAAATCGAACTTTTCCTAATATAATTTTTTTTTTTTTACATTTACTAAATAAGCACGTGCTAGTAATTTAAATAAAATGTAAGGGCTTATTCGTGCCATTTTGGAAATTAAACTTTTTTTGCACGATAGTCTATGGCCTAAACACGATTTAAGCTAACGTTACTGAAAAGAATCTGTGTATCATGAGTAGGCACATTGAGACGCAGCAGTAGGGTGACAGGTAGGGGGCCAAGTCTATCTTCCCACCATGGCCGCGGGAACTAGGGGTGCTGAGGGTGCTGAGGGTGCAGGGGTGCACACCACTGTATAATTCAATTCAATTCAAGTTTACTTGTATATCGCTTTTCACGACACAAATCGTTGCAAAGCAGCTTTACAGAAAATTAAGTTTCTACAATGTATTTAGTAGTAGCTTATCAGTGGTGACTATGTCAAATTGATGTACATATGGCAGAAATGTATGGTAAAATTCAGTTAATGACGTAATCAAACAGACGATGAACACTTTTAACAGCAATAATTATATGTTGTATGTAATACAACACATATGTAGTAATATGTAAAAATATTTGTGGGTGTGTAAAGTACAAAAGTTAAAAAACGACCTGTAGTGCATTTGAGTAAGGGACTTTTATATTAAAATCAGTGATTGGAAGACTGGTTGGAGACATCCGGAAGTCGAGCGACAGATATACTTCGTATACACTTTGGTAGACATAAAGGGAGAAAGGCAGGATGACTTAAAATCGAACTTTTCCTAATATAATTTTTTTTTTTTTACATTTACTAAATAAGCACGTGCTAGTAATTTAAATAAAATGTAAGGGCTTATTCGTGCCATTTTGGAAATTAAACTTTTTTTGCACGATAGTCTATGGCCTAAACACGATTTAAGCTAACGTTACTGAAAAGAATCTGTGTATCATTCGATCATTCGTTTTTTGATTTAATATTGAAAATAGAAAAATGAGAAAACGGCTCCTTTTTCGTTTTTTTTCCAAAAAACGAGAAACGAGAATTCGGCTTAAATTTACGTTTTTAGTTCATGGGTGGAAAAATGAATAAACAGCTTGAATATTCGATTTCTACACGTGGGCGGGAATTAAACGCCCCTTTCTGCTGATTGGTCAGCCGAAGATCAAACCGTGCCTTCATCAGTTCTTCTGCAGTATCACGCAGCAGAATAATAGTCCTCCACTGCTGCAGTTGTATGGATTAATAACCCATTTTATCAATTTCAAAATTTTCATCAAACAAACAGGGAAAAGCTTTCTTCAGTAACAGGAACTTCGGTAAAGTCAAAACCCTGGGAAAAATGATTAATGTTTCCCAATTATAAAATGTGGAACGCTTTTATGCAAAAGTCACACATTAAGTATATATATAAATATATATCTAGTGGGTACGGAAAGTATTCAGACTCCCTTAAATTTTTCACTCTTTGTTATATTGCAGCCATTTGCTAAAATCATTTAAGTTAATTTTTTTTCCTCAATGTACACACAGCACCCCATATTGACAGAAAAACACAGAATTGTTGACATTTTTGCAGATTTATTCAAAAAGAAAAACTGAAATATCACATGGTCCTAAGTATTCACTCATATATACTCATTGTTGTGACACTCATATATTTAACTCAGGTGCTGTCCATTTCTTCTGATCATCCTTCAGATGGTTCTACACCTTCATTTCTTTGCAGTATATGATTTTAATACATCGCAAATGTGGGATGCCAAATGTAAAATAATGTAAAAAAACAAAAAAAAAAACAGCAACTGCCTAACTTTCTCATATTTAGCATCAAAAACTGCCTGATGATGGTGGTATTTGCAGCTCAACAGCTTTGGCCAGTTAAAACAGTCTTATGACTGTCAAGTGGTTCCTCATGGTCTTGTGTGCTTGTAAAAGGGAAATGCAAAAGATTACACACATCCTGCTTCAGAGCGTATTAGAGGAAGTGAACTTCACTCACAATGGTTCAGTTAACAGTCAAATGTACAGATCAGAAACTAAACAGCAAAAGCATACCTGATGGCTGTATCGTTTTTTTTTTTTTACTACAGAATGAATTGATCAGAATGGCTTGCTCATGTTTGAATACAATACCTTGGATTTGTTTAGTCATTGGCAAGTCAGACCTCATTGGACTGCTTTATACAAACAGCCTTTGATAAGTACTTTATTTTCCATTCACAAAAATAATTTTGTTTTGATGGTCAGTAAAAAAAGCCGAAAATTCAAGGTATATAGAACTTCCCTGAATAAAAAGACATTCAAAAGTCAAAGTCCAAAATGATGGACCAAAGGCAAGTGCAGCAGATCAGCAGGAATCAGCCAGTATGTACATTTGTGTGTATCCAGCAGGGTATTTTTTTTTTTTAAGACAGTCACCCCTGTATTGGTCAAAACTCTTCTGGTTCGCCCACCTCATCCTCGGGAATTACAAAACCATCCTGTTTAAAAACAGAAAACCACAGAACTCAGCAGGCTGAAGACAGTTTAGTGTGAGACTGTCTTTAAACACTTATATACACTTACGTCTGTGGCGTACAGAATATCCACAATCCTTTGCAGTGTAGGATCACCCTCACCCTCTTTCTCTTGGCAGATGAGCTCAATGTTTCTCAGTTTGCCAAAGTAGAAATCCCTTTCCTTTTCCATGTCAGCAATAGTAGCCTTCAGGTCATTTATCTGCTCAGATGAGCATAAGCAAATAATGACATATATTTTTATATAACAATAATAAACTATTATTATTATCATCATCATCAATTAAATAATATCTACATATATATATAAAAAAATTTTTTAAATAACAACAAAAATTACTATAATAAATTAAAACCATTAAAAAATACCTCAAATTAAAAAAAGTATTTACCCTTTATTTACCCAAATTTCTTGTAAAGTCTTACCGTCTGAGTAAGTGCTCCTTTCTCTTCATCGCCGCCGCCTGTTCCTGCGCCTCGCGTTGCAGCTGGAGCTGCCTTTGGTGCAGATTTAGGTGCTGTGGCTGAACGCTGTGGAGCTGAACATCAAGACCACATCCATCACCTTGCTATATATACATACTCATCAACCTGCCTTGAGGATAAGGGTCTATTATTCTAGCTTCAAATTGACTAACTGAATAAATTATTAAATGGTTTCATTTCATATATTGAAGCTGAAATAAAAAAAAGAAACTTAAAAATAAAACTTTTTTTTTTTTATTCCACCAACAAGTGCTATAGACCCAAAAGAGAACTGCATGACTGTCCTTTTGTGCAGTACTTGGAAATGTAGGAATCACCATAATGTAAGAAAAATGCCCAGAGGTGAAGCAACCTTGTAGACAATGTGCTTGAACTAAAACTCACAGTTCTCAATTTCTTACCAACAGGGGCCATTGGCTTGACTGCAGGTGTGATGCCTGTGTCTGAAGCGAAGAGACAAATCCATGCACAGGCAACGTAAGGCTCCAGTTATTCTCAAACATGTAAAAACAGCTAAAGCATGTGCGACTGGGTCACGCCCACATATTTTGGGGTCATAATCCATAACAGCTGCAGCTGTCATGCACCTGTTAGTATTAGGACAGCTAGCTTCCGACAATAACGCCCCTATATGAACTAGGACTATATAAACCCAGAAAGGCTGATATGTTGATAATTATTTATAACAATGATAAACCATTATATAAATATTAGTAGGAGATTTACGTTATGCTCTTTTCCCATTGGGATAAACCTTAGAAAGGCTGCAATGGTATTGAGAACTTCCTGTTGGTTCTTTCTCTTTACCTGAGCTGGGTTTCTTTGGCTTGTTAGCTGTAGCTGCTGCTGGACTCTGACTGGTTGGCATTTCTTGTCCCAGCCGAGCAGCCATCGGATCATATTCCTTTCCATCATAATTTGCATCGAAGAACTTCTTAAACCATTGCACAAACTCAAAGTTATCCTGGAACTTGCCCTTCACAAGCTTGTCAACAGGAATAATCTGCACAGAGACAAAAAATGTTTCAAAATAGCAAGTAAAAAAGTAGTTACACCTCACATATCGTACATTATAAATATATTTTGCATAGCAAAATGGAACATGTGATTTGTGCGCTAATGAATTTAACTGGTTGACATACTTTGCTAACTCCCATCTTTTTGAAGCTGCCTTGAAGGAGTTTGAAGTTATGGATGTATTCGTGCTCAAGTTTGGCCTGGAATTTGACTTTCTTCAGTGGAATACATGATGGGAACAGCATGTCCATGAAATGACAGTAAGCAGCACCTTAAAACACATGAATAAAGACACAGTCAGCAAATAATAAAATAACATAACATAAAATCATTAAAAGTAGAAAAAAAAGTCACGCAGGTCCCAATTACACAAAAAAACACTTTAATTCTTCCTGCACTGTACTATCTTTGTCTATTCCCTCACTAAAATGTGCTAACCGCTGACCCAGATTTTGAAAAAATTAGCATGCAAATGGCAGTCAATCCAGGACCCACTATACTTTATGTTTAACTCTTAAAACTCTGCCAGCAATTTAATGGTGCTCAAGTTGTGTGTGTGAAGTGAAGAGGACAGACAGCTGGTCACTGACCTGAGCACAGTTGCTCGATCTTGGCATGGTTCATCTGTAAAGACTCGTTTATCCATGTGAGCATGTCATGGCGGCTGAGGTTTTCACTTGTCACTGATGTGGAGTACACGTTCACAGCCATGGCTGGGACAAAAGCGATGCTTTAAAGCCAAAGACACTTTTCCGCTGAAGCTGTTGGAGAGAGAGAGAGAGAGAGAGAGAGAGAGAGGGGGGGGGGGGGCCCATTTATCTTGGCATGGTTCATCTGTAAAGACTCGTTTATCCATGTGAGCATGTCATGGCGGCTGAGGTTTTCACTTGTCACTGATGTGGAGAACACGTTCACAGCCATGGCTGGGACAAAAGCGATGCTTTAAAGCCAAAGACACTTTTCCGCTGAAGCTGTTGGAGAGAGAGGGAGAGAGAGGGTGAGCTCATTTAAAGTTAAAGCCTCATTTCCTTAAACACACATTCACACCCTTCAGCCCATCTACATCATCATTTTTACTTCCTACTTAATGGCACTTCAATGTGTGGCTGTATATTTATATCCAGGTTAAGGTCTGAATCGAGCAACGTTACTTACGGGATAAAAATATGTTATTTAAAAAAAATGTTAGGTTTCCGATATAACGTTAACGTTCCTCTTTAACGTCAGTTAAAGTTTTCAACTAATCTGTCAGAATTTTTAATAGTGTATTCATATAAACAGTTCATGCTGAACTTATATATTCTAACCGTTGTTTTTAAATACTGAACATTTAAATCATAACATTAGATGACATGTGTAGTCCAAAACTACCAATAAAGTATTGTCTGTGTTCAAATCAATCAAATCAACGCCTTTAACTTACATTTGGTTCTGAAAGTCCAAACTATGATGGGATGCGAGTGAAACGGGCTGCAGATTCACCGGCGTGCCGCTCGTAAAGTGCCGCTTCCTCAGCAGGCTGGAAAATAGGCTGTAAACCTGAAACCACAGCAGTTTACAAACTATGCACAGATGTCAAAATAAAAGTCATCATAAACAGTTTGTTAACTACTTCAATCGGTCAAAATAAAAGTAATAAACAACAAAATAAATGTCGCCATTAAACGCATAAAACAAAAATTTTAGTTTAAAGTTTTGGTAAATGTAATAACATAAAAATATGCAAATTCCAAACATTACATTTGTTATGTATATTTCTACTAATCTAACTTAATCTACTAATATGTGTGTGTGATACTAAAACTTAAAGTCACTACAAGCTATTAAAAATTATTTCTAATTCCATGGACTCTTCTAAGCCAGAGCATCACAGTTTAAAAGGTTTTCCACCACAGTTATTTTCCATTTTCTATTACTGTTATGTTTCTATTAACATCTTGTGAGTTACTTAATCTATTACCTTATCTCATCTATTAAATATTATTTTTATTAAGCTAAATTTTAAAGTATTTGAGTAATTCACCTCTCGCTTCTTAGAACAGTACTAAACCAGCAATATATTAGGAAAATATTAAGTCAAAGCAAGGAGAAATCTGACACATTAGTCTGAAGGACTGAATGCTTAGTTTTGTGGGTTGATAAAACACTTAATAAACTGAAAAAGACAGATAAAAAAAGGTTGGTGCGATTTATTTTTCATCACTGATATTAGTACAAGCATGGAATATTAAAGCTAGGTAAACAGACTATGCAAAATATCAAAAGATATTAAAACAAAACCTGTCTTGTCAATCATCAGTTCAGGAAAACATTCTATATCTACATACATCATTAGCATTTCATTTAGCACCAAAAGACATCAGGGTTTTGAAAAACCCATTCAACGGGGGAAAAAAGAAGAAGAGGTATTAAAGGCAATTTCAAGGGTACAAATATATAGTATATTCTGTTCACAAAGAATGGAATAAAAATAATCAAGTGTGACCTTAAAGATCCCGGTCCTATGAGGCCTGCTGGTGTTGAGAAGACCTGAGGGAGTTATTCCTTATGACACAATACTGCACCTCTGAATTACACATGGACCATCATTTTACAATTACATGTAACACAGCACCAACACGGGTCTTACTGGGAATTTCTAAAGCTTTGCTACAAGACATACACATCCAAAAGGCATCAAGACATACGTAATCCAGTTATTGATCTTTCACCAAAGCACACACACCTCAAAAACAACAAAAATTTGTTTAAACAAGCTTAGTTTAAGTCACTTAGTATCATGTTTTAGAAAACTTCCAAAAGCTGAAAATCAGCCTTGACTAGGGTGACCGTATGCTGCCTTTTTCCACAAACATGTCCTGGCTGGGATTTCTAACTTGCCTAAAATGTCCAGGTTTTGGATTTTCCTACTGTTTTTGTACTTGCTGAAGGTAATGACTGAAAAGAAATCAGACCAATAGCACGCAGGCATTGTACATAATCGATTAGTCGTGGCGTACAAGAAGCAGGGATCTACGGAGTATGGTCAAAACAATGCAAATACGTGTACATAAAATGCATGAGGACTACAGACAGCATGTCAATAGGAAAACAAAGCCAAAGCCTGGACAATTTAGAAACCCAGTGAGAATATGTCCAGGAAAAAGAGGATGTATGGTCACCCTAGATTTGACCTGTGACAAAGTCAGAACCACAAATCACCATGATCTGCATAATGCTGAAAACACACATGCTAAACAACTACAAAGAAAACACTATTTATACACACATTATGAAGCACCTAATTTCACATTGAGAGTGGACCACAATTGGTAACGAAATGTATTCGGAGACATTTCAAAAGTAAGATACAATTTGGTCACTTGCACTAGACAAATGCAAAGTAGCCAAAATTCTTCCCTTTAAAGTCATCTAAGGTCATGCCAGTTACAATCAGCTCTACATTTTTTTTTCTACATAAAAATGTAGCATATCAATGTGTAGGCACTTATTCAGTTTAAGCCCTTGATCACACTGCACCATGTTGTACAAAAAGTCTTCAAAGTTAACACAGTGACTTAGATATTGTGTAATGCTAAATCCTCACCAAAAACAGCACAAATCAGTGCTGCAGTGGCCAGTTTCAGCCAACAGGTTCAAATCAGAAGTGCGTACAGGTAACAAATGGGGCAAAATGGAAAAAGGGTTGATGACCTGTCTGTTGTAAAATGATGACAGTATGGTCTAAAATGCTAGCTCAAGGCAAAAAAGTAGTCTTAAAACGGCAACGTCGCTCTGCAAATTGATAAAAAATAATCAAGATTACCTTTTAAAAAAAAAGAAAAAAAAAAAAAAAAAAAAAAGGCAACCGTCAACTCACATCTATAAAT